TTATATAGCTTTATTAAAAGTTGCATATTCTTGATGAGGACTTCATATTCGGACTAAAACTTAGCAAATTTGTCTCATATGATACCTTTTTAAGTTAAGTAACAGGCCCTAGAGTGCTTGAATCAAATTAGGCTCCGATAAAACTGTAGTTTGTTGGTAGATTAACTCAACAAAAAGCTCAAAAGTTTACAGACTATCGTTTATTACTTATTTTTCGCATAAGTAGAGTCTCGAGACTACCAGTAAATCAGTTATATGAAATGTATTCATCCTATTTCGTTTAAGGTGATAAGGACTGGAAGTAGAATTTTCCAACAATTATATGAGTAGAGCTGACGTCTCCATTGAATTTCACAGAGTCTTGCTTTCCCAAAAGTTGTTCTCATTCAGAGTGGGCTTTTAGGAAAGCAAGGCTCAGTGAAATTTAATGGGAACGTAAGCTCCACTCATATCATTGTGGGAAAATTCTACTACCCGTGTTTCTTCACCTTAAACGAAATAGGGTGAATTCATCCCATAGATAGTTTATTAAGTCTGATTGATCCGGTCTATTTCGGATGGCACCAACTCTAGCCAGTTGGGAGGGGCCTTGACAATAATTCCTATAAACTCATTTAAGCTTTTACTGTTAATCACCCTGCCATTGGCCAGCACTCTAAAGCCATATTTAGGACTTGAAGCCGTCAAAACTCTGTGTCGGAATCAGCATTCATCACAATCGCAATGAAATATTTTGATATATTTGATATTTTTTATCCTACTACTACCAACGCTACTACTGATATTCGTATTATTTATATGTTTACAATTCGTCTTTGTAATTATTTGTTATTTATTATTTTTGATACGGTAATGGATACCAGATGGCGGGAGCCAAGTAGGCTGAACCGTCCTAGCCAGAGAAATCAGGATCGTGGACCAGTTGGAGGACAAAAGTACAGATGCATATATACATGGAAGCACGAACGCGCAAACGTGCAAGCGTATAGCTGCGTACTGATTTTAAACTAGGATGGGATTGTCGCTTCGTGGACGGTAGAATATAGAAAGCTGAAAGGACATCGGTATCTCTCTGCCTGCAAGCACCATACATCTCAACAAGAAGCTCTCGTTGAAGCGAATATCAGAAAGTTGTAACCGGTAGCTACCACCTGTTGCCTGGAGAAATGTGTTGCTAGGGCAGCCGTCCACGATGAAAAAAGAAGGAGGGGGTGATACCTAAAGCCTGGAGAACAGCCGGACAGCCCATTTTCTCAGCTCATCTCCTCGTCTGCCCGCGAGCCGTGGAACCGATCCGAGCCCCATCCTCTCTTGACCACATCCGTTCGAAGGCCTGTGCCGAAATGCCGTGTTCGGCGAAACGCTTGCTTTTTGCCAGTTCAGTTGTAGCGAAAACCAGGCCAGCTGTAGTTATTGGTCGCCAACCCGCCCATACCAAGTGTTGCAGAGGAGCCGACCGTTGCCGAGGCAGGCAGATGAGCCAGTTGAAGTTGAGGTTAATGGCAAAAGCAAAAAGGAGGCTGCTGCAATAGATCCAGCAGAAGGTCTACTGCATAAGCGCACAGTCTGTTCGGGATTTGCATCTCTAACATTATGCAACTTCTCAGACGCCTTGGCAGGGAAGTCTCTTTTTTCGCAGTCGAACTGATATCCTTAAGTAGTTCGCAAATGCCGAACTTTTTTCAAGAGGTCTCCCGCACTAGAAACATGGGCTATCCCGGCACCCGAGTGTGAACTCGCCTCGGGTACGTCTGTTGCATCGTTATTCTCGCCATAAAGTCAGAGGTAATTAAGTCATGCGATGGTGGACGGCACAAATCTCTGCCGTGGGTTTAGAAGGGCGGAAAAAGTGTAGAATGCCTGTGTACTTTACAGACTGCCGCCCAGCCTCGAAACTCTCCTGTGCATACCTGAAGCATCGTTCGGCCTCCCTCCGTAGCTGCGGGCCAGACTGGGCCGAATGGGCAAAAGTGTCGGATCACAAATTCGGCCCACCGGACGCAAGGGGGATCCGCCCGGGCCGAGGTCAGGCATCAGGCGACTGCCTCCGGAGACTGGGTGTAGAGTCTGTTTTTCCTTCCACACAAAGGAGGCCTTGCTGCTGGGCCACCGCAAATGCACTCTCAATTGCCGTCCCACGGCCCGGCTTTGCTGGTACAGACAAGAGAGGGTGTTCGTGGTGTGGACGGCCACTTGAAGGCTCCGAATGATGAACCCCTCGGGGATGAGTGCTATCCTGCTCTAGCCGGTCATCAGTCTAGGCAGCAACCACGTAATTCTTAAATCTGGTACAATAGTCCAACTCTCGTCTGGAACTGGCCGACGTGACTTGTAGAGAAGTTTGAGGTGCGTACATACAGTTGCACGCTCTTTTTTCTTACCTTTCGTAGAATGACCGTAATTCAAACAGATTTGTCGTCTGCCAGTGTCCGCGTGCCAGATTTTTCGCTGTCTATACCCTGTTTGTGTGTATGTGTGTGTCTCATCCAACCCATGCACACGCTACATTGTACATGTACATGCGTATATGACAAGAGTAGATAGCGATGTGTAGAGGCATGGCCTACTCGTTATGAAGGAAGTAGCATAAGAGTTAATTTATTCCAAATCTCTACCAGTTTGTTCAAGACACACTTAGTCCAAGCTTAAATGCGAGTAACAGTATTCGGGAGTTACAAACCAATCTATGGATAAGCCACTGCCTTCTCCAGACGTATTTTTTTTCTGAATTCCTTGCTCCAACTGCCATGTGAACCAGGATCTGAGCTGAGTAGGTCTGAGGAAGCCATTGAAATGCACTTACCCTTTCCTCTCAAAAGGCTACCTCATCCAGGCACTCCCAGCAAGATAAGATACCGGGTCTCGAGTGTCTTGAGTGTCGTGGCGGCGTTATCATTTAACCACACAGCCATGAGTGTTAGTCGATCCAGAATTACTGAGAGTCTTGAAAGCTACTTATGCCGAAAATAAGTAACGTCGTCAATTGCACTGGCAGAAATATGATTGCCTAATAGACAATTTCACTATAACTTGGAATTAAATAAGGACTGGTCTGCCTTAAAAAAGTTACATTTTAATTATCCTATATTAATATGAGTAGGCTAGGTCGTGGGTATCATGGAGACTTTATCACTCAACTACATAGAAACGGGTGCCGGGCGAGTCACACGGCAGATGTGACCTATAAGGCAAACCAGGTCTCATTGAACCCACACTTACAGTGGAATTGTCGACTAAGCAATCATATTCTTGCCATTGTAATTTACAATGTTATTTACTTTCAGTATAAATAGATTTCGAGACTATCATTAATTTTTGACAGAATGGCTGCCGTTGCGGTGAGGTTGAGTAGTAACGTCGCCAGGAAACGCACGACCCGGCCTACTCATCTCAAATTATGATAATTCGACTTCCAATCCTCAAATTATCTTAAATAATCTCTAAGTCTTCCTGCCAATATGACCAAGTTGCGAAAACAAGGTCAAACACCCTCTATACAACGAAATGAGACTGCGACCACACAAAAGGCCACACAATCTTGGTCTTCATACCTTTGATTAAACCACCTAGGCCGATACAATTCTTATTCAGTAATAGTCTCGAAGCCTAGTTATACTGAATATTAGCAGAATAGCGACCTAATTTCTATGTGAGTATCTTTCAAGATTAACAATAATTCTTGAATAAAATCTCAATCACTTTCGGCCGCTGTAGGTGATTTAAAGACCGGTAGCAAAGTTTTTCCCATAATGAGATGGGTAAGCCTCACGAATCCATTGAAGTTTACTTAACCCTGCCTCCAAATAGCTGACTTCAACCAGTTATGCCTTCGCTTGGGTCTCAACAGCACCCCGA